CTATCGGGACGGAACCAATAATGGAGAGCCGTTTTTTGTTTTGTTTTTTTTTTTTATAAAAAAATTGACAATTTTAACATTTTATTTAGATTACAAAAATAAATTGTAATAAAAATAATCCTATTAATGATGCTTTAAAAATTAAGACCTACGAAAGACTGATCTAAGACATTTTAATACCAATTAAGGCCTTAGTTTTATTTTGAAGAATTGAATGCATTTTAAGACTTTTCAAGGACCTGCGGGAACCCTTTAACAACTGTGGCCGCTGCTTTGAAAAAATAAAGCTACATTATAATTTTTTATATAAATTATAATTTAATTGTGATGTAGAGTGCCATAGTACGAAGGCATGGGCTGGTTAGCGGACCCTCCGTACCTCGCACTCCTGTATCAATGCCAGCTGTACAAGCAGGTTGAGGGATAAAGGAGGGGAGTCCCCTGAACTGTTCACCCCATTTATGGGGTCTTTATACTGGGCATATAGAGGTAATGTTTAAATTAACCTAACACCTTCAAACTGCCAGCATTATACACTATGTTAATAAAAATGAAAATTGTGCAGAATGCCCTGATTTGTCTTCAATATCAAAGCTGTAGAAACATTGTTGTCAAATATGAAAAGTTCATCAGTATAGCACAATATTATTAGGTGCCAATAATCATAAGTGTGAACATGCACGCTAAAGGGGCGTTAAACCCTTAAAGGCAGTGAAATTTAACCATGAGAACTTAAAACTGCAATCAGCTTCCACCAACTATCAGATGACTCTGACTAGAGAGACAATTGCAAACAGTTACACAACTTTACCACAGCCTACAACAGGAAATACAACTGTGCTGATTGTTTCTCCAAGGATTGATGAAGTGCCCATCAAATAGGAGAGCATTGAAAAGAAAGGTTATATAATGGAGCATGCTAGCACTGGAGAGGTTGCAGAGATTTATAATAGTAGATATCTGTTTTACAAAGCTGATCAGAATGTAAAAAATATTAAAAGTAAGCTCTGAGATTGGGCAAGTGACTTTCACATTTCATTTGCCCAGAAACAATTTTTACTTGCCCAGTATAATGTTTGATAAATATAGTTCCTAATATTCATTTTTGTATATATATCAATGAAACATGTTTGTTTTTTAAATGTTTTATTGTAATTCAGTAAGTTTCCAGGTTCCTGGTGTGTATATGCATGCGTCAGATAATTAACTCAAGCCTACATTACCGTGTTAACATGCTTTTCTATCCTTCCTGCACATTCTTTTCAAAGTAAACTTTGCTTTAAACTGTTGAGTGCTTGGAAAAATATAAATTGTACTGTTAAAAATCTAAAAAAAACTTGACAGGTTAAAAACTTACACCACTACTACTCACCAATTTAACATGTTTAGCTCTATAACATTTAAATGCACCACTACAATGTCTAAGAGAAAAAAATTTAATGAAAAATTTTTAGTGTATAACCACTTTACAGAAGTTTGCCATATGATAGAAATATTTACACTGTGCGCATACAGTTATTATTATTATTTTCCTAATCCCTGACTGATAGTTTTTAATCTAGCATGTATTATAGTATAGATTAAATTCATCATCCAGCTGCTGCTCTGCGGAATTCTCTCCCCAAGAGCTGAATCACGCCATCTAGCGGCTTTTTCAAATCACGCGAGAATGTGTACAAAACAACAAAAATGGCGATAGCAACGCTTGTGGGTCACTTTCAGCGAATGTAAGTGATTTTAAAGTGATCTTGAGTGATGAATAATTTTTTTTTTTTGCGATCATTGCACTTTCCCGGCAGGCAAATGCAATGAAATTAGTTCTCTCCTGACAATAAAAACTAATTGCGCCGGGAGATCGGGCAACATCGAGCCCTGATTAGGAATAGGGCTGGGCAATTAACTGCATTTGCAATATAATCGCAAATCCCAGAGGCACTGATTTTTAATCCCACTATATTTAACATGCAAGACACTAAATTTCTCCCAACAGCCCTATGGGTGTTGATTAAACCCTTAAAGTGGGTTGTTTGCCACACAGAATGGTAGAGTGTAGCATCTAGCAGGCAGATCTATGCATGCAAGTGGAAGTAAACACTTTTTCCCACCATAGTTACAGTGAAATCATGTTACATCAGGCTCTGGACAGGCAAGCTTTCAATAACCAAAAGCAAAAAAAAAAAAAAAATACAACTAGAAAGTAAGGTTGAACAATATCGAATAAATGTCAAACCAATATTCGTCAGTCCAAAAAATATTTGTGCAGGTGACTGTGGGCAAAGACAAGCACCCCTTCAGAGCACATTCTTCTGCTCACTGGTAATATTGTTAACCACTAACACACAATATATACCATATACATGATTGTTTTCTTGTCAGAAATATATTAGTTCCGTCCAGTGGGAATAGTTTCCTCTTTTGCAGTTGTTCTGACTATGAAGTTATTCGATCTTTATTCATTTGTTTATCTGAACACATAAAATAGCACAGACTGCAATCTGTGGTGGAGATTCTCCTCTTTTCTTTTTTCTTCATAGAGGAGAGAATTGTCCTTATTTCTTTTTTCTGTTGTTAAATTTTGTATTTGTTGTGATTAAAACAGATCGAGCGGTCTGTAAACAAGCTTAAAATAAAAAAAATGCCTCTTTCAGGTCCTGGTTCAGCATTTAAAAAAAGAATCAAACAAAAAAAACTGCTTATTTATGGTTTGGATCTGTTCTTTCTTTATGTCTCAAGTTTAAGTAGATAAATCACTGCTGCGTGTTGCAACATAGGTACAAAAAGGAAAGAAAAGCGCTCTTAAAAAAAACATCACTGAAGGGCTGAGTCTATCATCGATTATTTGTCCAATCGCCGACTTTACTACAAAGAACACTTACCTCTCGATTTCCAGGTCATACGTATAGTTAAACGAGGAGTCCAAAGAGTTCAAAAGTTAGAAATCTTACCGTAACCCAGCCAATACATCCCTCACGCTTTCTCTGTTCCTTCTTTAAAATGTTGCAGCCTTCTTTCAGTTCCTGCTCTGCAGCACTGACAGCGCAGAGACCCAGCTGAGCACCAATCATTGGCAACCCTTCCCAAGGAAAATCTTTCTGTAGGAGAGACAAAATGTTGATGAGAAAATACTACCGCTTGTATTTTACAGCAGAATTCCCTACAGTCAGCTCCCAAAAGTGGAACAATAATCCATAGAGAAACATTTCAGAAATCAATTCAGTTTATTTATACGCCAACAATTAAAAACACGTCATCTCAAGGCACATACACTGCAATATTTTCAATCTTTGTGCTCAGCTACAGCTCAAACTGTACGACGAAACCGCAGGGTTTAAAAGGTCACAGCTCACGATGCATGTTCTCACACTGTGCAGCCCGACGCTCTGATGCATCTACCTGCACGTCCAAAAAAACAACACGTTAGACTGAGTGCCAAGAGATGGCGCTGGTCGCACTTGTCAAATTGAAAGACAAAGAACTCCCTTGTTTGCACATGTGCAGTGCTCGAGGTTTTGGTAAATTGGCTCGTAGCTCTGCTACAACAGCAGGATTTGTCCACAAACACCTGAAGACGACCGACTGAATTTCAAACAGTTTCAAAAAGTTTGATTTTCTCCCGACCTTACGATTCATGCTGGGAGGTAGTCGTGAGAGGTAGGGCTGCGTAAAGAAAAAACAAAAAACAATCGATTTAATAGATTTTGAATCGATTCCTTTACATTTTTGCAAAATCGATGTCTAGGGATTGAGATCGATTCATTTTATAGTGACCTGCGTGACGTTCACATTCAAATAAGCAGGAAAGGTGCACCAAGGATTACTTCAAGCCAGACAGCTGCAAATATAACCAATAGGTTGATTGAAGACATTAACAAATGGGGGCTGACCAGCAAACACCCTGTAGTTGTTACAGACAACGCTGCAAATATGGTTTGTGCAGTGGAGATAATGCAGCTCATGCATTTCTGCTGTGTCACCTCTGCCTGGTTAAGTGATCCTTCTCTTTTTCACTTTTCACAAACAAGTTTGCACTTATGAGACAGTTTTGTGCACATCTCATGTTTAAACTGTCTGATTTACAAGTTTGCACTTTATGTTTAATGAGACAGGAAAAACAAAATACATGAGTATTTTGAAACACAGTTGAACCAGTTTCATTATTGTAAAAACAGATCGAATCGAAATTAATCGATTTAGAACTGTATGAATCAAAATCAAATCGATTCAGGACTTTGGCGAAAATACCCAGCTCTAGTGAGAGGCTAATCGCCCCTCATTACTAGGGGTGTAAATAATAGTTTCGTATCGATGCATCTATTTCAAGAGCCGACGATCTGATGCATCGATACGTCCGCAAGATAATCGATTCATGCTTTTTTTTCCCCTCCCGTTTATTTTTATCCATTTGCTCCTGGGTGTAATTCTCCTCCCGTGCTGCAGTGGCAGTAAACCTATTTTGCCCTCCTACCTCGCTTCCTGGTTATACTCTGACAGCAGTTTGTTGCAGTAAGCTTGACACAGACATTTTTGATTTATGCTCAATATTGAAGCGTGGTCTGTACTACACTGCGGGTCTAGATACGGTCGAGGCTATGAGGAAGTGGGGGCGAGTTTAGTCCAACGATGGAGGGAGATGAGGGCCAAAAAGAGCGGAGATCCAGGTGGAAAAAGGGTCCCAGAGTTCTCGCACACCTCGCTCTTCTAACTGGTCAAACCTCACAAGTTGTTTTCCGCAATTTCAGTTATAAAAACAAAACAAGCCGGCCTCCTGTCTGCGGCACTGTCTGCGGTCAGCTACAATTTGGGAGAGGAGCAGCGCAGCGTCTGTGGAGGGGGCGGGGACGTCTGGAGCCGAGATATTGCATTGCAATCATTGCACTGATTTTGTGCAGTATTTTTTGATGCAAGGCCTTTCAGAATCTATAATGCAGGGGTATTATTATCTTTCAGCGAATGAGGTTGTAATAGGAATAGGTGGAGTACAACTTCTCTACTTCTGTTATTTGCTTTTGTTTCTCAAAAAAAAAATGCATAACAATATTACAGCTTTCATTGATTTATTTCAAATTTGAAACATTGTCTAGCCTGTAAGGTGTAAAAAAAAAAAAAAAAAAAATGAACCAATTAATCGAATCGTGGTGTATTCTTGAGTATCGAAAATAATCGAATCGTTGGGTCAGGAAATCGATACTAAATCGAATCGCCATGATGGATGTGATTTCAACCCCTACTCATTACCCCTATAGACTGCACGATGCAGGAGGCACAATGAAACTCGGCCTGATCGAAAAAATCTCACACAACTAGAGAATTGGCCCGAAAACAGCAAAAAATAAATAAAAAATTTATCGTACAGTGCACGCCCAACCTAACAGAGATAATTCAACCAGATCATCCAGTCAGATTGGTTCAACGTTTTCTATCTAAGGACTCGACAGCAATCCCTCACACCAAGCATGCTTGTAGCAACAGTGGAGAAGAAAACTCCCTTTTAACAGGAAGAAACCTCCAGCAGAACCAGGCTCAGTGTGAGCGGCAAAAGCAGAAGGTGCGCCCTGATTTGGTCCACATGATGTAAACAAGTAATAATTACAGATCTACCAATCAGCAAGACACTTCTTCAATAGCAGAGCTCTGCTGCTTTAATGTTATTTTTTTAAGCTGCTGTTATAAACTCCTCTCTACAAGCTAGTATGTTTACATTAATGCACACTAGTACATCTGAAAAAGCAAGTACAGATTAACTTTAAGCAGGGCCTGATTGAAATGTTTTATTTTTGATACGATACTGATATTGCAGCTTAGAGTAGATATCGATCTGATATGATAGCAGCAGAAATCATACATACCTACTCATCTTTTCTCAATGTGAAACATAAAGGTTTATGAAGTAGAATTACTCAAACAGAGAAAGATAGTCAAGAGCAATCGGTATGAAAAAACTGTAGATCCGTTAATTAACCAATGGGTTCATTAACCTTTTAACTTAACATAAGCAGGATGTTTTAATTAGCAATTTTAGATGCGGCCCATAATCCTTATGAATTTTTTAGCTGATATCAGGCCAATTTCCAATACCAGTATTAGATCAGGACGTTTCTACTTAGTTAAAGGTTATAAAAGGAAGTCATAAAGGCTTAAATTGTGTTAGCATGGTAAATTGCATCCTGTAAACAAATATAAAATTGTAAAAGGTTGAAAAAGACTGATGCGCATGAAGGGTTCAACCTTCCTGCTGTTCAAAAGATTTTTAACCAACTTAAATTTTTTTTTACAAACATAGACTTGATAGATATGCTCTTCTTGATCAGGTTCCTCTTACTAGAATACAGTTACCAGTAATCTACAATTTGCTTCAACATACAGATATTCGATTGGATTCGTGCATATCTAATATGGTTGTTAAAATAGAGCAAAAATACCTAGAATAGACCCCAAAGAGCATGAGCTGTAGAACTACTAATGTAGCATTAGTGTAATCTGATTGTCAAAATATTAAGTGAGGATCAGGAACTGGACAGGTTTTCCATCATTTGACGGAGCTTTTGGATTTGCATAAGGTTGAGTTACATATTAAATCAGTCTAACGTGATTTATCCCATTTTTATTCTTTATCTAATTCCAACTAATTACAAAACACTTGAATTCACCATTAAATTGCAGCTGGATGGAAATCTCCCCTGGTCAGAGGGATTCGTAGGAAGTGTGGTTTGCAGCATTTAGAATCAGGCTTGGACTGACAGCTCGTCATCCATAAGTGAAGGCAACGGCTGGAGGCGGGACAGTGGCGGAGGCCTCTCCAACGTTTGCCGTATGAGGGGTAAAGGCCGATTTATACTTCGAAACCAGGTCCTCTGCGTAGGTGTCGCAGTAAACAAAAAGCCGATCCCGCCCCCTCCGCAGAGACTCTGCTGCACCTCTCCCAAATTGTAACTGACAGCAGACAGGAGGCCGGCTTGTTTTGTTTTTATGACTGAAATTGCGGAAAATAACTCGTGAAGTTTGACCAGCTAGAAGATCAAGGTGCGCAATAACGCTGGGAACCTTTTTCCACCTGGATCACCGTCATGTCCCTCCGTTGTCGGACTAAACTCACCCCCACTTCCTCATCGCCTCGGCTGTATCTAGACCCACCGCGTATAGCGCAGACCACTGCGTCAACCTCCCTGTGACACACTGCTGCAGGAGTATAACCAGCCCTTTAGTGTCAGTCAAAGGCTTCCTGACACTACTTCCCGTCTGATCGTTTCTGCAAGGCCCAATCAGGAGGAGGCTTACAGAAGAGGTTTGTCTCCACATAACCTGTCAAAACACATTTTTCTTCATGCAAGGAGAAAATCAGTCAGGCGCTTTAGGGAGCGTAGCCGCCCTCGAGCGTGGCCCCGGGATAGAAAATCACATGCGCGGTGAGATCCAGAGCGTGCATACGGAAAGCGATTTTCTTCAAGTGGCAGTTTCTCACACGTGTGATTTTGTTGAGCGGTGGTAGATAAACCATGTGCAAAAGTTGTTTAACATAATTACAAGTATGTTTATTTTGCTCGCGGCCATTTTGAAATAAATGTGACGCCATACCCCGACACTAACATTCTTTATATCATCATTGTTGTCAGGGAATTATTTCCATATCTGATTGCTCCTAAAGGCTGGTGAACTTTCTGGGTAAATGTTTTAAGCTTTTAATGGTTCTTTACTTCTTCTCTAAATGTTTTCACAAATATTTCTTCCAGCTGCAAATACTTGACAAATGGGAAAAGAAGGAAAATGTTTTGGTTTGATCCAAGTCCCTGTATAGACAGAAAAGGGAAAACAGGAACAAAAACAGTTCTTACATTGATGCTTTCTGGATTTTTCAGCATGTTCCCAATCTTCCTTACTGTGACATCACACAGTGGAGCTGGAATGCTCTCCAGCAGACTCCACAGTGCTGCTTTGTAGAAAGTCTGGGCATTCTTTAGGAAACCAATCTTGACCTGTTGTTCGATATTGGAACCGGAGACCATCATCAGTTCCAAAGCCTGTACGCCGATATTCACCTCGTAAAATGGAAGCAGATTCTCACTTTGAGGCAAAGTCAACTCCTGCTTTAAGAAGGGAATGGACACTGACGGCTTGTAGATGCTGGCCATGTAGGACTGCAGCAAAATGAAAGCCAGCTGGAGCTCCCCGCTCAGATCTGCTTTGCCCGCCTGCTGTAGCTCTTGGAGGGCTCTGAGTGGCTCCAACGAGTGGGAAAGGAACAAAAACTGAAGTCTGAATGCGTCGTCCATCAGCTGGATCTTGATTCGGTTCAAGGGCTTTGTCTCTTTCAGGGATTTAAAATATTCCTGCAAATCCTGCCAGTGAGCGGCCATCTTCTGCACGCTGTATGTGATGAAGAAACAGTGTGCTGAGAGTGGAAGACGGGGGTTATATGACCCAGCGTCAGCAAACACCTCTTTCAGACTGTCATTAACGGAAGGGCATCTGGTGTAATGGCGATGGATGTCTGTAATCAGGTCCACAACTTGGCTGAAGGAGGCCGTGATTCCAGCTTGGCAGGCTCTCTCTGCTATCTCAGGGATGCTGCAGAGGGACAATAACTTTGGGCTGAAAGACTGGAGCCTGGTCACAATCACCCGGGTTAGGTACGGCTGTGGAACGTTGCAGTAAAAAGCGGCAATGTTGTACAGCGGAAGCTCATACTTTCTCAAGACTTCGACTAGAAGCCAAGCGTCAGAATAAACAACATGCACCATGGCGTCTATGTCCCGGTTTTGAGCGCCGTCAATGCCCATGTGCAGAGTGTGCAGCAGCTTCACCACACTCCTACCTGAGCAATCATCAAAGTAGCCGATCAGCAGGAAGGTAGCGCGCTTCCCTCCCCCCAGCTCCACCCCTACATACAGGTACACAGAGTAAGGCCTGTCTGTTACAGCCTGCATCACATCCTGTGGATCTGCAGAGTAAACTTCATGATCAAAGTTAGTTCTGATGAAATTCACCAAATCCTTTTCAGGACTCTTTTCCTCCACAGCAGCCTCTCCTGACTGCAAGCTCCGGATATCCTGTATCTGGATTTCCATCTCCTTCATCGACGTCTCGCTCTGTTGAGATCCCTGCTCGTTTGACACAAACACCACATCCTCCTCCTCATCATCAGATGTTAAACAGATCACAGTAGAGCTCTTCTGTTTTTCCGCCATTTCAAAATCCATACTTCTTTTCAGCTATTTGTTCCCAGGCGAAGGAGGCAGGATGAACGCTCACCGGGTTCTAAATACAGAGAAAACAAAGGTGAATAAAAACAACCTTAAGTCAGTCAGTGAACTAATAAATAATCAAACCATCAGACATGCAGATGGGAGATGCTTTCTCTTAAATTATAAGGTTTAAAGATCTTTTACACAGTACAGCGGAGGCCATCAGGGATTTTCCTTTAATTTAAACAACAGCTAAGCGACATCATGGCAGGGTTTCTACAAGTTTCACTAGGAGAAATTTAAGACTTTTTGAGACCCTTTAATACAACTTATAATAAAATGTAATATCATTTTTAGGGGCATATGGGAAATAAAAGGAGAATTTCTGGAATTTAAGAAAATGTGTTTATTTAAGTCAGATGGAATTTCAGTTGCCACCTACACACAGGACTGTTTTGAGGTGTGTATAAATGCAGATGCAAATGCAAAGCTCAGTGAGGCGAAGATAGTAACAGGG